GCACCAGATGTGTGTCTAATATAAATTAATATATTTAATCTATTTTTCTTTTTCCCTCTTTTAAATACCGATCATTAGATGCGCTTTGCTCCACTCTCTGCATTATGCTGACTGATCTGTCTGGTTTTCAACCAGGTCCGCTAAATGACGTCATGGGGGCGGCTACTTTCATTTTCTCTGCTACAGGCCCTCACCTCTGCTCGTGTTCGAACCAAAAGATCGGCGCGGTTTTTCACATGGCAGGCTTTTACGTCCTTCATATATGTTGAGATCGTGTTTATCGACTTGATGAGGGAATGTCTTGACAATCCACACAGACGTGCAAAAAGTAAAATCCTACATGACTTCACGCTTTAACAGGCAGTCAAGCAGGTCGCACACCAGAAGCACCGCGACAAGGCGCGGACATGACAGTTTAAACAAGGGGTCACCAATCTCGGTCCTGGAGGGCCAGTGTCCCTGCAGGGTTTACCTCCAACTTGCCTCAACACACCTGCCTGGGTGTTTCAAGTATACCGTGTAAGACCTTGATTAGCTTGTTCAGGTGTGTTTGATTGGGGTTGGAGCTAAAACCTGCAGGACACCGGCCCTTCAGGAACAAGTTTGGTGACCCCTGGTTTAAACTATCACACACCAAACTCGCACATTCGCATGATATTTAACTTGAAACTAATCAGATGGCGCTCTGTGGGCCGGCTGAAATATGAACTGTTTCGTGAATTGTGGCTGGGCGGCGCCGGTGTGTGTATAGAACCTGTTTAGAATTCTAAAATCCATGGCGCGGTGCTGTGCGGCGCGTCGCCGAGAGGCGCTTCTGGTGTGCTTCCTGCTTCATACAGAGAGTGAACCAAAGCGCATTGGTGAAACTATAATGTATTAAATATATATATATATTTTTTTTTTTTTATCGCGATTTCTTGATTTGATTCAAAATTAAATCGTCTTAAAACGTAAATTCGAATTAATCGAAAAAAATATCTGAAAAATTGCCCAGCCCTAGTTTACGCCAGACTTGATGTGGCGAATAAATCAACGTGTGAACATTTTGAGATTACTCGCTTCAATCGCGCGTCAAATTTACTTCACAATAGAAGCGGATTCATAGGCAGGGTTAGTAATTTATGTTGTACAGTACAGTTGCAGTAATGATAGCTCCTTGGCTTTTAAGCTAACATTTTTACGGTTTGTTAATAAATAATATACAATTGTTTTAATGTTGTAATGTCCGTGTGGGACCAGCTAGTAGCACAATAAAATAAATATGCATGTAATAAATAACACTAATAACAATAACAAAAGCAATTTGTCGTGAATAAACTGAAAAAACCACCGAGGTGAAGAAGGCATGGAGGTGGTAGTTTTTATATTTATGTAGGCTAGAAATTAATATTTTTGTAATATTTTATTCCTTTCATTCTTTTTCATTTGTAAAGATATTTGTGTATTGCTGTGCATCCTGTGTGTTTTAAGCAATGTGTAGGTGAGACTTTAAGTGAGAAAGCTGGACTTTAGACAACCCAAGCTCATTCTGAAAACGTAGTACCGCGGACGTTTCTGGAGACAGCGGAATACATCCCGGGGGGTAGGTACGGCCGCGTTTATTTTTTTCAAGCAAACGCTGCGGGGCGGTGTGACGCTGTGACGCTGTTCCCTTTCGCGCTTACCTTACCTCCTTGTGGAGGGCATCCCCGCTGCAACCCGTTTGTCCACTCAGCTCACTGTGTACGTCGGCAGGCTCGAGATGCAGAGAGGAGTCGACCACGGCGATCGGTTTCGAGTCCGGGGAAGAGCAGTTCCAGCAATCAGGTAAGACAAAAACAGAATCCCAAAAATTGAGTTTCGTGACAGGGTGAAAACGCGGTGAAATCCGAAAACGCGGTAGGAAAAAAAAAATGTGGGCTTTTATTTTTTTGGACGGCTTTTTGTAGACTTTTTTGTAGGCGAGTGGGTCGATCGGTAAAATTGGTTGGGTTCGGGGAAGGAGGAGGGCTGGTCGGCCGATGGCCAGTCGCACAGTCAATCATTCGGTCAGTCGGACAGCAGCCTCCGGTGGGTTCACGTTAGAACAGCGGGGGCACGAATCGCACTTGCGAGAGGCGTCTGAGGTGCGAAAAAGCGCACAACAGCGCCCTCTCGCGGATTCGCGAAAACAAAATCTGCAGCCGTACGTACCCGCCGGGACGTATTCCGTGGTCTCCAGAAACGTCCGCGGGACTACATTTCCACAATGAGCCTGGGTTGACTTTAGACCTCCTCTCAGCTGGCCTATTGCGCGGTCTATTTTAGTTTCTCAAAACAGCAACGCACTAACAATGCGCATTAACACCTCTTTTCTAGACTGAAACACACAAGTCCACAAAGCTGGGCAAATGAATTTGCTAGTTAAACAATGTAGCAGAAAATGGGAAAAGGTTGCTTTGGTCTGAAAATAGCGAAACGTAGGGGCAAACACATGATGTATGATGGGTGTGTGTGATAGGGCCCTTAGAATCTGGAAAATTGCCTATTACAAGCAGCAATGGGATTGAACGCACATTGCTTGCAATCTGACTTTGCTGTTAGGTCTGTGTGATTAAAAACGGACTAGAGACACGCTTTCCATGTCCGGAAAATCACTGTATTCATAAAAAGTTCAGCAGCAGCCATTGGTAACTGATGCCGGATGTTTCAGTAAATCCTCAGGTTTATTCTTTTGGAAAGCTTCTTAATGTGTTTTTTTTTCTTTTTTATTTAAATTAGAGTCAATAATTATAATTAAACATTTTAAATGATCAACAATATTTGAACAAAAATATCGAAGCAATGCACCTCAATTTTCTTGATTAAAAAAAAAAAAAAACATGCAATTTTAGGCACAATTTGGTTGTATGA